TATATATATATATATATATATATATATATATATATATATATGCTTGTGCAATATTTCTACATATCATTATAATCAAGTAACTACCAGAAAATGTTTTTGCATTTTTACCACTGAAAGCTGGAGTTCCATTCCTTACATGTATCAGCCAAATTAGAATTATTTCATTATAATGGAAATTGCACTAAATAAACAAAAAATTAAAAATAATTGACCGTTAACGGGGATCTCCATCAACATGCACGTGGCCTTGTTCCCTAAAATACACAAGACTTCATTATTATAAATAATTCCGTAAAATTATAAATTATAAAAAGGATGAATAAATCAAAATGCATCATACAAAAAATTTTGGTTTTTACCAGAAAAAAGATGAGGGAAACAACATTTAAATTTAAATGAAGGAACAAAACACTTAACCACTAAGACAAAGAACAACATATCATGCATGTGTAGTATTTCTAATTTGAAAGATTATCTCTAATCTGAAAAATTAAATGTCTAAAACAAACATAATAGTGAAACTAATATATAATGAAGAGAAGAACAGTAACAACAATAATCGAAAATAAGAACAAGAAAAAGGAAAATAAAAGTTTAAACAAAGCCTATTAGTACTAATAAATAAGCCTGACTATAGTATTTTTTTTCGTTTATTGCTTCTTGTCCAATTACAAATGTCCAAAGATAATTATCTATATATTTTATATATAGTACTAAATACTAACTATCAAAATAATTTAAAATACAGACAGCATGGAAATAATTGATTGCTTCATTCTTCATCTACATTTTTGAATCTCCATGAACAAATTAATTGCTCAGCTCCTGTTCTTGCATTTCTCCATGGCTCTTGGTGCTGATGTTCAAGAAAATATTAATTAAGAAAAATCGAGAAAAATACTTCACCCCATCTCAAAAAGAAACGAAAAACTCATACCTAGTCCAATAGCTTCTGATCCTTTCATTATGCGTAAACGCTTGCATGAATCAACAAACATTCTGTATTTATAAAATCATCGTCATATACATATATAGTTCGTATATCTCCGAACTTTGATAAAAATAAAAAACTTACTGCCAAGGTACATCTCCAACAAGCATCCAATCCCCATCCTTATCTTCATAGGTTGGTACATAGTCAGAACTATTGAGGACATCCATCAGTTTCCTCTCATTCATAAAATCTATCATTCCTTGGGACCCATAATTACCTACACATATATATACACACAATTAATTTATTAACTACCTACCTATCTAGTGGAATTAATAATTAAAATGTGTCACTATATTCAAAAGCTAGGCTGTAATATCACCCATATGATCATCATAGATACCAACACCTCAAACTTTATTTCGCCGCAAGAAAACTGTGAATTATATGGAGATTTTTCTGAAAATTAGTACGAAAATTGCAAAAAATAAATTTACTGCGAATTTTCATACTAATTCCCAGAAAAAATTCCTATGTGATATTTCTTTCTTTTGAAAATGCATAAATTAAATATAGCCTAGCAATTAGTGGACATGATCAAGATAATTTTTTTTGTTACACTTGAATCTTCACATATGCTACTTTTTTTTTTTTATAAAAAAAAAAGTACTTTACATGCATTAATTAGGATCTTAATTACAAAATGTAGAGATCCACGTACCATGACTATTTCAATATGTTAGAAGACATATGTTTAGTACCATTGTACGTTAGAGTTAACTTATGTCAGTATATAGAAGTTAAACGGAATATAAAATTATAGACGTACCCATAGTGAAGGAGCTAAACATGTTGGTCAAAGAATGAGAGAGTTGTTGGTAACTCTTGTACATCTTTAAATCTACCTTACGAAGGTAAGGTGCACCATCCATGGAAACCTTCACAAATGCTATTGTTTTTTCATCCTTCTCACTAATTTCTTCATTATTATTATTATTATTATTCCCTTTTTGAGACAACATGTTCTTTCTGAAAGATCTTACTGGTGGCCACCCCACCACTTGAGCCCTGCAATTTAAAAAGAAAAAATAAAGAACTAAATTAGTTTGAAAATTCATCGCTAATCTGTTGTAGCAAACGAATTAATGATGAATTTTTTTCACTATAAGAAAACTGTGAATTATTGAGGGATTTTTCCAAATTTACTGAAAAATAATTTTCAAATTTTCATGCTAATCCCTAGAAAAAATTCCATATAATTTACAGTTTTTTATAGCGTTTATTTTACAGGAGTAACACAATTTGTTCGTCATTACTGTATTTTGTTAAAATTTATTTAATTTACTTTCTTTTTTTGTTCTATTAATAAAAAAGAATGTCCTATTTGTATATATATATTTAGTAAAGAAAAGAAAATTTACATTTAAGTTAAAATAACAAGATTTAATCTCTTGTTTAATTTGTCTGGTCAACTAAGACACATAAAATGAAACAGCTAAATCCATAACTTTTAAGTACTTGGACTTTGAATTAAATTTCTAAATCCGCTAGTACTACTGAAATAATAATAGAATTCATAAGTTTTGAAGTCTAAATTAAAATTGAAAAAAAAAGAGACTCACTTAGTTGGTGGCTTGTTGGAGGAATTATCCTTTGGAGGATTGTTGATGTTCATAGAAGGAATATTATCATTATGATGGAGGTTGAGTTTGAGATCAACAGTTTGAGAAAATCCTCTTTTCTTAATATTGTGATCTCCTCCACCACCAGGCAGCCCCAAACATAACTCAGTTTTCAAGTCCATTACTTGTTTTTCTTCTCCACTATACAAATTAATAATACTATATGGGCAATGGTTTATGGAAATTGAAAATAGAGAGAGAGATGTACTCACACAAAGTTTTGGGATTAATAATGTATGGATAGTGCTAAGCAAAATAAGGGGTGCATGTACATTGATTTATGTGCATATTTATTTCAATTTTCTTATGAAGTTCCAGCGTATGGACATGTGACACGTGGACATATATAGAGTATGTCGATTAGCTTAAGATATTACTCACAAGGCATTTATGAAACCAAGGGTTAAATCATTTAGTTACTGGTAAGTTATTCTGAAATAAGTTATTTTTTATTATTTATATGAAAATTTTAATTTATTATAAAATATAAATGTCAAGAAAAATATAAATATCAAGAAAAATAATTTTATTTTATTCCGAATCCTACTTTTTGTCCATGTCAACTTTATTAAAATTATGTGTTTCTTTGTTAATTTCTCACAGAGTTAATTTATTATTTCAGACATATTGTACAGAAAACGTGAATAGAAGAAGAGAGAATTTTATTGATGTTAATTGCATTCACTTACAAAGTTTGATCCTCATCTAGTATATTTATAGTTAGGATATGTGATAACAACTCATAGTTGTTTAACAGAATCCGAGTTAACTAACTACTAATGGAATGAACAGTAAGTTAACATACTAATGAATAAAATGAAACAACAATTAACAGTACTACTACTATTAATATTACTACTATTAACTAACTATTGATTCTAACACACATCGTCAAGCTGAAGGGTGCATGACATTAAACACACCAAGCTTGCTGAGAAGATGCAAATGTTGAGCTTGAGTTAATCCTTTTGTCAGTAGATCAACAACTTAATGCTGAGTAGGAACATGCACAGTCTCAATTACCCCTACTTTGATCTTGTCTCTGATGAAGTGACAATCAATTTCTATATGCTTTGTTCGCTCGTGGAAAACTGGATTAGAAGCCAACCAAATAGCTGATTTACTATCACTAAAAAGATTTATAGGCACTTGAATTGGTACCCCCAACTCAGTAAATAAGCCTAACAACCAAGTAATTTCAGACACAGCTGAAGCCATGCTTCTATATTCAGCTTCAGCTGAGCTTCTGAAGACAGTGTATTGCTTCTTAGATTTCCAAGATACTAACGAGTCACCAAACTTTACCTCAAATCCTGGAACAGATATTCTAGTATTTGGACAATTTGCCGTATCTGAATCACACCAACAAGTTAGTATAGTGGCAGGTTTAGCCTGTAACCAAACACCTTGACCTACTGTACCTTTTAAGTATCGAACTACCCTTATAGCTGCCTCCCAATGTGACCTTTTAGGAGACTGCATAAATTGGATGAGAGTTTGTACTGTATAGCTGTTGGCATAAAGAAGCTTTCGAACCAATCTCTGGTAAGATGAAATATCATGAAGAACCTCATCTCCAATAACTCCATTCACTAAATCATATTCTACTGAAGTAAGTCTCAAGTTTGATTCAAGAGGAGTGGGAGCAGGCTTTGCACCAGTGAGCCCTGCATATGAAATGAGTTCTAAAATGTACTTTCTTTAATTCAAAATAACTCCCTTGGAAGACCTTAACACTTCAACACCTAAGAAGTATTTTAGTTCACCTAGATCTTTTAACTTGAACTGCTGATGTAGATTCTCCTTGGCTTCTGTAATCATTTGTTCGTTGTTGCCTGTGATCAACAAATCATCAACATAAACTAAAATAATGACAAGTCCTTCATCCTTTTTTAGGAAAAAAAAAGAGTAATCATGTGCACTCTGAGTGAAACCAGCAGTCATAAGGCATTGGTGAGCTTCAAATTCCATTGTCTAGAGGCTTGTTTAAGCCCATACAAGGACTTAAGCAACTTGCACACCTTTGTCTCACCTGGCTTTCTGAAACCTTCAGGCATTTCCATGTATACCTCCTCATCCAGATCTCCTTGGAGGAATGCATTATATACATCTATCTGATATAGGTTCCAACCTTTGGATATGCCAAAGCAATTTTACATCTGATTGTTACCATTTTGGCAACTGGGGAAAAAGTGTCATGATAATCTAGTCCTTCCTGCTGACTATATCCTTTGGCCACTAGCCTGGCCTTGAATCTTTCCACCTCCCCATTTGCTTTATATTTAACCTTATACACCCATTTTGATCTTACTGTATGCATCGCTGGTGGTAAGTCAACTATCATCCAAGTTTTGTTATCTTCAAGAGCCTGTATTTCTTGTGTCATAGCATGTATCCATCTAGAATCCTTTACAGCATGTTTGAAATATTTGGGTTCCACATAATCAGACATTCTGCTCAAATATCCCTTATAAGATGGTGCCAGTTTTTCATAGCATAGAGAACTATCAAAGGATGCCTAGTACTGCTTTGCTTCTTGCTATTAGTAGCATAGTCTTTCTAATAGGAGGATCTGTAGTCACAATAGGAGTCTGTATAGTATCATCAGAACCATTTTGAAATAAAGAACTCTCACAAGTGTTTTCTTCTTGAACTTCACTATCATTTTGAGCACTTCCACTGTCTATCACAACAGTGTCATTAATATGAAGGTCTTCAACATTTTCATCATTGAATCACAATATTTATCCAGCTGTAAAAAAGAATCATGAATAGTATCTGATAGTTGTGACTGAGATGTCACCATTGCAAATAGAAAAATATCCTCCTAAAAAATCACATCCCTGTGTACAGAAATCTTGTTGTTCTTGTTGTCCAGCAGTATATAACAATTTTGAAGTTCTGAATATTCTATTAGGATAGCAGGAAATAACCTTTCTGCAAATTTATCTCCCTTTGGTAAAACTAAGGCATGACAAAGGCATCCCAAAGTCCTTAAATGTAAGAGAGATGGTTATTTGTTATGAAGCATTTCATAAGGGCTTTTGTTATCAATGACAGATGAAGGTAGTCTATTCATTAAGTAAAGAACAACCTTAATACAACATAATCTAATAGGCAAGTGTGATTGAAATCTAATAGCTCTAGCAAGGTTGAGAATGTCTCTGTGTTTCCTCTCTACCACACCATTCTGTTGACGTGTGTGAGGACAACTACTTTGATGAAAGATACCTAGTTCTTGGAACAACTTTGTGCATTGAGAATTAAAGAATTTAGTATCATTATCCGACCTCACAATCTTAACATGAGAATCAAATTGAGTCTTGACCATTAACAGGAAACTTTTGATGGCCATAATAGTTTCTGATTTCAATTGCAACATGTAAGTCCATATAAACCTACTATAGTCATCTACTATTGTTAGAAAATAATGTTTCTTATCCATAGTAGGGACCTTTTCTGCAGCAGCAATATCGAGAAATGGGATTTAAAAAATATTTCGAATTAATTTCACATCTCCTTGTTGCTGAACAACATAATGATTTACTGATGAAAAACCATGAAAGTCGACCTACTGGTTCTATGCCATTTCCCGAAGTAAATACGACAAATTTTCACCAATCTAGGCGTGAAAAAGGTCGTGGCCCCAGTCGTGGCCGTGACCGTGGTTGAGGAAGAAATTTCAATCATGGTGATCGTCTTGCACTAAATAATAACCTTCAACACCAGCAGTGTAAAAAGAAGAATGAAAAACATGATGTAGTGCAAAAGAAAAATTCAGACAACAAATGTTATCGATGTGGAGCAAAAGGACATTGGTCACGTACCTGTCGTACACCAAGGCACCTGGTTGAGCTATATCAAGCTTCCCTGAAGGAGGTGAAAAATAACGCTGAAGCCAACGTTATCTCGGAAGATACTGTTGAACCCATGCATCTAGATGTAGCGGATTTCTTTGAGAATCCCGAAGGAAAGATAGATCACCTGATAGGTGATGGATCTGTGATAATATAAATATATTTCATTTTCGTTGTTTGTATGAATATGTTTTCCTAGACTTGTAAATAACTAAAAGGTTGTGTAATGTTTTTGTTTAGTAATAATATTATAATGTTTATTTCGCTTATATCTTTTATCTTGAAGCGTATATGGATACCTCAATGATCAATTCATGAAGATATTTGTGTAATTGATAGTGGAACAACGCACGCCATATTCAAAGATGAGAAATACTTCTCCTACTTGCTTAGAAGAAAAGCAAATGTTACTACAATTTCTGGTAATTCAAACTTAATAGAAGGCTCCGGAAGAGCTACTAAATTTCTGCCTAAGGGGACAAAACTCGTCATAGAAGATGCTTTGTTCTCTTCTAAATCCCCAAGAAACCTGTTAAGTTTTAAAGATATTCGCCGAAATGGATATCATGTTGAGACAATAAATGAAATGAATATTGAATACCTTGGTATTACCAAGATTGTCTCAGACCAGAAATATGTGTTGGAGAAATTATCAACTTTATCTTCTGGCCTATATTATGCAAAAATAAGTACGATTGAAGCACACTCTATCGTAAACCAGAAGTTTACTGACTTAAAGACTTTTATGCTTTGGCATGACCGAATAGGTCATCCTGGATCAATAATGATGAGACGAATCATTGAAAACTCAAATGGACATCCATTAAAGAACCTGAAGATTCTTACAAATGATGAGTTTTCATGTGCTACTTGTTGCCAAGGCAAATTGATTACTAGGCCATCACCAATGAAGGTTAACATTGAATCCCCTCAATTTTTAGAACGAATACATGGGGATATTTGTGGACTTTATTCACCCATCTAGTGGGTCGTTTAGATATTTTATGGTCCTAATAGACGCATCTTCAAGATGGTCTCATGTGTGCCTCTTATCATCTCGCAACCTGGCGTTTGCAAAATTATTGGCACAAATAATACGATTAAGAGCGCAATTTCCAGATTATCCCATTAAGACAATTCGCCTCGATAATGCTTGCGAATTCACATCCCAAGTTTTTTATGCTTATTGCGTATCGGTAGGGATAAAAGTTGACATTCTGTAGCTCATGTTCATACTCAAAATGGCCTTGCCGAGTCATTTATTA